ACCACTCACTAGAAGATCTTGCCATTCTAACTAGAAGGTTATGCATTGTACACGGCATGATCTTGTAATACTCACTAGGTCTTTCCTTACTAACTAAAAGATTTAGCGCACACGAGAGGAATTTGCCATGCACATGAGAAAATCTTGCATGCACACTCTCTCCACTCTTTGTGTCACAAATTATTGATTAAAACTCACTGTTCCCCATTTGTCCAGAAACTCCATGTACTGTGTCTCAGAATATCTTGCAGGCAATCCGCACACATCGTTGGCAAAATCTAGATTTATTTTATACTGATCGATGGCAGCTAACTCTGTTTTATACCGCGCCGAACCTTTGTTGCAAACCGTACGATATTCCTTGAAAACGCGTCTGTCTTGAAGCGTTTTACTTTCTACCGCTGACATACCTTTATCATCAAAATAATGATGTGGTTACTAATACGAATACAGTACCTAACTCATGATATATAGCGTTCTATTTTATTGCAGTCATCCAAGCGTTATATATTGTTACATCAAACGTAATTCAAAACAATATTTTGGTTTTTATATTTAAAGGGAAGCTCATGAGGGGAAAAACAATGTGTTGTGGAACTTAGTTTTCAAAGACACAAAAAGGTGCTTAATGAAAAACTTGGGAACGGTCAATGAGATGCAGATTTTTGAATATTTGAAAATGGGGAAAAGGGGGTCGTAACTATCCACCATTTTTCTATATTTAAATATTAAATATTAAAAAATGCATATCTGTTTTATACATGTCATATTTGTCCGGACATTCCATTATAATAATTCTTGTTTTAAATGGGACAGCGTGAAAAATATTAATTAAACACTTTTCTTTATATTTTCTTTATAATTAAACAAGAATTGAATCAAAAACTTACGGCCACTGAGCATAAATTGGTATCCCATCAGACCACAGTGTTCTTCAGACCCTGAAGGAAAACAAATAAGTAAAAATGAAATCAGATAAATACTATAATAAATAGATTTTTATTTTTAAGATCCAATAAAGAAAACATACAAATTATCATCTGCATTATTGATTTTTTTTTCTTTACTTTATGTACTTTATTTTATTTCGAAGACTAAATTTTCAAGTAATAATGAACACAATACCGAATAATGATCCTGTAAAATTTATCTTTAGGATGGTATATGTTATAAATGCTAGGTTAAAAAATAAAGAAATTGTACATAATGTACACTTTTATTAAAGCATTTATATATGGTGTAAATGAAGTAACTTTCCGACGTTTGAAGCGTGCAACATTATCGGATTATATATCCTTGTAATTACATCTAGGCTTGTACACTTTTGTATCAACTTAAATATACTCAATATAAGATTGATAGGTTTTATACTAATATTAGCCATTACCATCTATTCCGACGTCTACATTTAGTTTCTGCTGGTAAGTGGCTGGCGAGTAAAAGGATGATGTTGACTTGACGGACGAGCAGCTATCTCGGGTGCTAACGGAAACCTCATCTGGAACATAATACAGATCATCATCTGTTAGCTTCTCTTCATCGTAGGTATATTCAAAAATTTGTCGATTCTGAAGAATACCCGAATCAGATGGGGCGTCAATCCCTCCGTCAGGGTTACCGTACAGGAGGTTGTACCCAACGCCAAGAAACTGCAACCCGTCGAGGTCAGTTGGTTGGGCGGCTAGTGCCAGGCACGGCAAGATAATTAGTAGCCTCAACATGGCTGATTTATTTCGTGTGTATGTAAATGCCCAAGAAGTGAAACTCAGAATGTTCCTATGCTAAGTCAGGATATATGCAGTCTAGGAATTAGGTAATTAGACAACTGAAAACAAATTATTGCATCAGATAATATCTGATACGGGTTTTCACAATCCTTATGTTTTAATTAGGCACGATACGACACGATAACACACCTGCGTAACAGTAAGATAACGTCATACGGTAACTATTGAAACAGTTGAAATTATCATGAGAATTATTATGAATATAAATGAAAGATTATGATTTATGATGTTGAAAGGATGGTTTAAAATAAAGCACAATCATCAAGTGATAATTCTATTTTCGATTACATTCAAAAGTATTGCAATATTTTATCATGCAGGCCCACTTCATTTCCAGTTGGCTTGGTTCTAAATATCGTCAAAAAGCTGTGACGGGTGGCGATCTTTGTTGGTGTTTAGGAAGTCGGTGTCTCCCAGGGCTGACGGGAAGGTTTTCAAGTTAGAATGTCAGTGTACCTAGACAGGTCAGAGAAGGCTGGTGGGTCAACCGTCTGGCTCTAACTCCATATCTTTTTGGTCCCTCTGTAAAACAATATGTACCTTTGCAATCGTTTATGTATGTTCGTCGGTACGTCTTTTACTTGAACATCCAAACACCTGTTGGTTATGAATTCTTGCAGAAATGTAGTATTGGTCATATCAGTGTGCCCTATTGCATAAAAAAATATTAAAGCAATGCACGAGAACTTTTACCCCCCCCCCCCCCTGCCTCCATCCAAGACTCGGAATATTCTAGCGTTATGTGGTACATTGAATTATTGAATGTCTGTTTTAATTAAAAAAAGAAAATCCCATTGGCTGGTGGTAATTGGACTTGTGGAATGTAACAAAAATGAAAATACTATCACTTTAGATTGGAGAACATTATCATTTCTACCTGAATTAAGACTATATATATATATATATAATCTATATATATATTATATATATAAAGAGCGAGAGAGAGAGAGAGAGAGAGAGAGGGGGGGGGGGAGAGCTTATTGTATATTGAGAAATGTCTTGTATCCGTTTCCTTTCTTTCCTTATTTCTAGTTACATCATTACAGGATAGTGTAATATTTTACCAAAATGTCTGCATAATGTACAAATAAATATACACTTTTTAAGCTTTTATATAAAATCTACGATTATCTATTTTACTTCAGTTCAGCTACAGTTATTATAAATTTTCTTAATCTAACGATACAATAATTAAGATTACTGTACTTATGTGCATTAGGGGATAAGGTAAAAATGCCAGAGATTCAAATGAAAACTGCATTTAGTAATCAGAAGATTTATTTCAGTAATTACAAAACATTACGAGCTTAGATGCTAGACTATATTTCATTTGTTAAATCAAACATTGTTTTTCCTAAAGATCCTTTTAATTGAGTCCCGAAAGTAATTAGAGGGCGTCTATTGCCTTTGAGTTTTAAGTTAGATTTTGTAAAATAATAATTTATTGATCGGTTTAATTTGATATTAAGCAAGAATGGCTATTATTGATGTTTAGATCTAACAAATTTTTTTGAAGTTGGTCACAAAAGGTAAACTGCAAACTGATGTATAAACGTAAGTAGTATTAAAATATTTTCTTCTGTTGTCTCCAATATGACGTCATCCACAGTAGAATATATCAATAAGGCAGCATCTGTTAATTCCCATGTATTTAATAGATAACGTATAAAGTACAGTGCAGTATAAATTACTTATTGCAACTATGCAACTAATTAAAGTTAGATGACCGTTTGGTTGATATGTAAAAATTATTATTACCATATCTCAATTATTTTTGTATGGGTTTTAGTGCTGGTAGAGGTTTGTCTGTTGGTAGTTCAATTAATACTTAGAAATATTTTTATGTAGTATAACAACAGTTAAATTAGAGAATTCATGTTTAATTGTTAAGATGAATTTATTTCTAATCTGCAAACAATATTGGTTTAATTTCTAATAGTCAAATATGGACGCGGCTTCACCGTGTATGTTTTTGTTGTGTTCAAACTGATTATTTTTATAACCTGTAGCCGTCAATAGAAAATAGACAAAAAACACAATTTTCAGCCTGGTTCCTAAAAAATCTTCATATCATATTGCTACACGCTCTCGTCAAAAGCTTACGGTAACGCTGATTCGATGGTCAAATCGGGAGTTTCCCAATTGAGTAGAAATACTAATTTGTTTTCTTATTTAGCAAAGTGATTTTGCCAAAAACATCTAGACGGAGGAGTAAATTAAAATAATGTATTGATGAATGTAAACAATGTAGTAATGAAATTGATGTAATTACGGAAGAATATGTGTTTTACTTGTGAAGTTTCAGGGGAGCGGAGGGTATAATACAAATAAATATTACAATAATTTTATATATAAAAATAATACAATATTTTATTATATTTCTGTTGTGGCAGATGGTGCGCTAAACAAGGTATAAAAAAGCTCTTGCCTAAAGCCTGGTTTTCTTAAAATCGCTACACTGTCGCTACAGTGTTTCCAGTGCAATCGTTGTACTGCGAAGCAATCCCCGATGCAATCGACTGCCAACCAATCAACATCACCGAAAGCTGTGGGCAATAGCGTGTAGCGACTGTATGGAAACCAATCTTTACAGACATTGACGGCACATCGTGCCAACAAGGCGTTTATACACTTCATTTTATTCTCAGCTTTCTGGGCCGGGGAGGATTCAATAAAATTTCAGCTGGTAATTTATTTTAATTTATTTTATAGGCTATTATTTGAACCATATTTGATGAGGGTGAACCATCCAGCAAAAGCTGATCATTTGGTACTCTAAGTCAGCCCAATAGTAAAGGATCGGCCACATTTATCAAACTAGAAATCAGCTTAAATTCGTCTTAAGTCCATTTTTTTACTTCAGTCAAATTTATTCATATTGCTTAGCTTAAACATTGCTTAAAATTAGAAAGTCGATTGTACATTGGCACCATCTAAGACGATTTTTAAAGCCAAGATTTTGTTAAGATTGGGTAATAAATCAGCTTAAGATATTTATTAGGGACATCTTAACTTTTTTGACTTAAGACATTTGCTAAGCTGAGATTGATAAATCCCGGGCCTGGTTCTGAATCTGAATACATTTTATTGTCTCCAAAATTATATTTGCTATAACAGGTTTTAAACAATGAAAAGTACATAAAGACAGCAAATAAAAAATACATTTCCACCACGAAGCTACAACTAAAATAAAATAAAAATAGGTCTGCAATATATAAATAAAATGTATATTTAATATTTAAGAAACAACAGTCACCATCAAAATGCACAAAATAAAAAAGAAACAACATTAAAACGCAATTAAAAATATAAGTAAATTAAATAAAGTACGTAGGTTCCCACTTATACTCCTAGATTGAGAACGAAAACCGTAAATGAAGCAACACAACAAAAATGCTAGGTCCGAACACTACGGCAAGGTTTAAGAGCATGAATTGCAGCAGCTGCGCCAATCAATCCTAATGAATATGTTTGTATATTTAATGCTTGCGGTACACGTAGATAGTTTCGAAACTATTCAGGAAAACAATATCTGAAGACGATTGAAGCAACTCAGTCGAAACGTCGAGACATTCTCTGCAAACAACAATTCTGTTACACTAGAAAGCCATGGGCAGTCGTTGGCCTATAGCTGTTTTGAAGACTCTCTCATAGCGATATGGTACTCGGCCGCCAATCTCGCCAGACTCAGCATGTCCATTCCATGGTGAAAGAGTCCCTTGTCACAATCATGCTCGTACATCCAGATGGCTGGTGATTCCTTCGTGAACAGTTGGTACTTTGTGCTGAGAGGGATGGGGAAGTTTATCCCAGGCATGATCTGGTGCTCGTCATCGCCATCGTCAAGTCTATAAAATAGTTCCCCGCGTATGCATGCGACAGTGATATGCTGACATCCAGACCAGTTGTGGTGGAATGTTGCAAATGTCTTTAAGAAACAAGAAACAGCAAAGGAGATACGTTCAGATGAAATCAAATAAATTATACAGCTATAGAAATTACATTAGTTTTTGAATGAATTTACTTCTATTTTTACTTGTATGCAAGTTTTATTGAAATAATTTGTACAAGAATATATCATCGCTACATAACAGCAGTGCAGTGGCATAGCTAGGGGTCTTGAAATGGGAAGGGGAGAAGGTCACATGGGGCTCGATGGTTAGGTAAGTAGTGCTAACTCGCAAAATAAGGTTATTATAGGTGATTTTTAATTACTTGAACGTGATTTTATTTTGGTGTTGGGGGTGGAGGCGACTGGGAGACCGCGATTATTTTTGAAGGGGCGTGGGGCCCGGACCCCTAGAGACGCAAATACTTAACAGATGTACCCTTGTAACATATATGCAAATGACTTTCAAATTCTGCCAGAAAATTTAAATATAAACCTACATATGTAAATAATTTTATATCTATGACTTAGGCCTATAATAAAAGTTAATACCAAATTTGGTTATTTTAAATGTGCAAATACAAATATTGTTTTAAATCTTGTGGTTTGTTCTAGATTTTTGTTTGTTAGTATATTTTTGGATGCTAAATATTAAATGTATCATACTATATTACAATAAATATAAACTATTCTTCATTGGACTGAATCCAAAATGCCGGTCACTAACATACGAGCCCCGCCACCTTGACCCTGCTTTTACCTCATATGATCTTTCCATAAAGAACGATGTCGGTATATTTCTTTCTGTATTGACCAGCTCAATCCTCTCCAACTCATTAAAATCGATGAAGTCGTCAGGAACCATAGGTAGGATCCAGTCTTGATTCCAGTCGTCAGGATCCACCTGGCTCAAAAATACTTCCGGGTCAACCCAGCGCTGGAATGGCCTGAGGATCAAACAATGTCTCTTATTAAGAGGAATTTACAGAAAAAGAATAACGAAATATTTTTATAATAACTCTACCCACCTTCCATTTAAAGATTTCCAAAGTTCTGCTTTGATACTGACTGGAGCTTCTGGTGATCCAGGGGACTTAGTCGTCCAGTGGTTGACGAATTGCAGAACTAAGTCGAGGTCTGTTATCATTCGCTTTGCTTGCCGCAAGTTCATCAGAGTCTAGGGAAAACGATAAATAAAATACCTTTGATGATGATGATAAAATAATAATAATAATAATAATAATAATAATAATACGGTAATAATAATAATAATAATATTTACATAAATTTATTGTAAATACTGAATCTGAACTGACTTGTTTTAGAGTCTGAACATGACCTGAACATTGTGCTATACTCAAATGACCCGAAATAAATTAACTTATGTACTTTTTCTGATGATTAATTCCCAGAATTTTCTATTAATTACTCTCATGATCTCTGCAGGATGTACATTTTTCTTTTGTGAGTTTACTTCTAATTTTTACTTATATGATATATGTGTTACATGAGTATGGCCGCCAAGAGAGGAAACTGTAACAGGG